TGGATGGATGGATGGATGGATGGATGGATGGATGGATGGATGGATGGATGGGAGTCAGCCTCCCCACCATCACACATATCTGCACTTCCAGATGCAGGAACAGGGACACCTGCATCATGAAGGACCCCACACACCCAGCACACACACTTTTTGCCCCGCTCACCTCAGGCAGAAAGTTGAGGAGCATTAAGTGCAGAACCACCAGGCTGAGGAACAGCTTCTACCCTGAGGCTGTTAGACTCATGTGGGGAAAAAAGTCACTGTAATGCCACTTGGTTGTTATGTGCTGCTGATTATTTCATGTTGCTGTGTTTATTAGTCCTCATCTGCTCACATAGACTCATGTTCGTGCTGCTGTTGTTTTGGCACATTGTTTTTGTACTATTAGTGCTTAGTGTATTCTTAGTCTAGTGAATGTGGTATGTTCTTAGTTCATGTCTCGGATCTTACTACTGTTTCTCTTTACAATTTGCATTTTTGTTGGATGTATCTGGGACCTTCTGTACATAGTTTCATTCCACCTCGTGTACCACATGTGATGTGAATGACAATAAAAATCCTTGAATCTTTGAATCCTTGAAATTGTAGAAAACTATCAGGTAAAGTTTCCTGCAGGAAACTGAAGACTAATGAGAAATAACTAATGTCTTGTTTTTTTACATGTGGATTAAAATAGACTAATTTAACTTTAAAAAAAAAAAAAAAACTAGAATCATTTAAGGAAATCAAGCTCACATGCAACTAGCAAAGCAAGAGTATCAACACTGAGATGTCATGAGGTTTACTGAGTGCATGTGACTGAGCAGTGTGGAAGTATCTGTCACATGCCAGAGAGTGAAAGCTCATGTCCATCTAAAACCCTTTTGAAAGCTGTCTTTCTTCTTTTCCAGTCCTACATTTGTTAAATAAACTTTAAAAATCTAATGAATACCAATAATAGGAACTTGTTTATGATCCCCAATAAAATCAAATAACAAAAAGAGAAAGAAAAAGAGGCATGTCGTTTTTCGGGTTTTATTTATTCCAGGCTGTTTGGAAGTCAGTTTTTTCATCATCTGTAGTGGATTTTGATATTACAAAACAAAACTAGGCTGTTATAAAATAAATGCGTATCAGATCATTCTGTAATGAAATTAGGAAAAGGTCAATTACTGGAAAAGCAGGAGAGTTTAAATTGTTTAGCACATCATAATGCAGTAAAACAGAGAAATCAAAAAGTTATGTAAAAGTGTGATGAAACAAAACTTCCAAAGAAAAAGTGCAAACATTCTTTTTCCTTTGTTCTCTCAAAACTGTCTCGTTCTGTATTTAAGAATTGCAAGTTTTTGAAATAAGAATGGATATTTTTCATTATCAGGTCAAAAGTCATGCTATGACTTTGCTATGACTTTGATTATGAACAATGTAGAGATTCAAAAGACTGTTAAGTCACATTAATATCAACAATATAACAATATAATGTATACATTCTAATTATTACAGGAAACTTGGTACATTCCATTCTATTTTTCTGCCAGATGAAAATCATTGTTAAGATCTTGTGATAAATGTTGCAACAAATCAATTTGAATTAAAAGGGTGACTTCAACAGTTGCTCATGATTTCTTCTTTAGTTTAGCTGAAATAGTATTATGGGATGTACAACTGCATGTCCTGTTAGTGGTAACAGTTACGTTATGTTCACTAGAGAAGCTGATCAACTAACAAAATCACTGTATTAGTTTACCAATTATAATTTATAGGAACATATTGATCAAGGGTAATATTGTTGGGCAGTACTTAGAAACAACAATTTAACAAGTATATTGACTCTAATGTGAAGTTAGGCGTCATGGCAAGGGAGGCAGAAAAATTCAAACACAACAAAGCGATGTGTGTAACAAATGACACTGATGAGTTTTAATTTTTATTTTCTGGTTTTGTTGATTTTCTGTCTGTCTGTCGGTCTGTCTGTGTGTCTGTCTGTCTGTCTGTCTCTGTCTGTTTGTCTGTCTGTCTTGTCGGTCTGTCTGTCGGTCTGGTTTCTTGCTTGCTTGCCTGGTTAGTTTTTTGTCTGTCAATCTGGTTGGTTGGTTGGTTGGTTGGTTGGTTGGTTGGTTGGTTGGTTGG